TTTGTTAAAATTTACAATATGATACAGTATCTGTTTAACTTGCAAGAACTGACATCAGGAAAGGTGAAAATGTACCAGACAAATTTCAAAGACAACCTTTGCCAACTGATGAATGAAACTGAAAAATGATACATGCTTTAGTAAGCAGAGCCAATTATACACTTCTTACATTTTTAATTTTTGTGAGGTATCTTGTCCAGTTAAGATAGCCAATAAAAATTAGTATTGAAATAAACTGGACTTAGGACAAGACTTTTGAACCACTGTATCACAAAGAGTTTAACAAGATTTTCAAAAATACTTAAGCATATCTAATTATATGATTCTCACTAACACTACTATTAACAATAATTTTTAGTGAGGGCAAAAGGGTTTCTGTAGCATTAGCAAATGAAAATTAATTTTATTTCATCTTTATTTTAAATATTTGATCTGCTTTTATTTAATATTTTATTTTATCTTTATATAATTTGTCTTTTATTGCTGATTTTAAATGTTTCATAACATATATATCTGTATATAATATATGCATGTCATTTATATATGAGAGTATGTGTGTGTGTACATATATGTATATAAAGTAAGCATGCAAACTTTTCTTTACTGATTAGGGCACATGATTTAGAAAAGTCAGGAGACCAGTGCTAAATTTCTGCACATCTATTGCTCACCTAGATCTTGTACTGATTTTCCTGAAAGTTCCCTTAGTTTATGAAAGGGCATATTTAATATACTTCTAAAAATGTAGTGTGGGGAAATGCATTCGGGGCTGCTTTTATTTATTTCTGTTATCGTTCCCTGAAGAAAAAAAATCCAATTTTGCTTTTTAAACTAGAAATTCAGTTTGATGGCATGACACACTCAACCTGGGAATGTTCCTGGAAATGTGTAGCAGAAAGTAAAGGAAATAAAGGAGAAGTAGGATTTTCATTTTCACTCACTCTGTTGACCATCAGGAGCACAAGTCCATTGTCAGCTGGTGTTCGAACTTCTATGTCAAAGCGAGTCACCTGACCAAACTTCCCTCGCCTTGTGATGTTTCTTACCACTGCATAACTGGAGCCATCGAAGAAGTAACTGGCAGCCCGACTCTGAGTAAAGGCCAGTTTATCTCTAAAACGGAAACAAGGATCATATGAACATTGCAGTTTCTGTTATGCTTTTCAAGTAAGGCCCTTTTAACCCATTCTCCTAACATACT